GTATTACAACCTTCAGGTCGCATACAAGGTTTACCACAAACTTTACCAGTGTTATGATAAAATGGGAATGTGGCCTGACGACAGAAATTGGCCAGGATGCTTTGCATCCAGTTCGGGCATAGCCCTCACAATCGGAACTTCGTGCCTCAGCCTCGGGTGACGAAAGCAATCAAAGGACCAAAAAAAGCCAAAAACCTCATCAAAAGGAAACAAATATCAAGCCAACTAGACGCCAAAACGGGTACCCATAAATGAGTAGGTAACAGTTTAGTCATAAGTATGTAACAGTCTAGTCATAAGTATGTAACAGTCTAACGCAAGTAGGTCGCAGTATATATATACTGCGACCTACTGCATTGTTATTATTGGAACTAGATTGAAATCCTTGAGCTGTATGCTAGGGAAGAATAACTATATAATTATTTGGTTATTTATCATTTCATTATACTTATTGGACATGTCATGAGCTTGTGATTTACTTGTTTGTGATAATGTAGTATCGATGCTCTGCTCATTATAGTTATGATTGAGCCCAAAATGTTTATGTAACATTCTGATCAATAGTTAAACATAGTGATATTTTTTGATGAAAATTTACTAATTTTTTTTTCCTCTATAAAAAATAATGAATTTAATTATAGTTACATATAAAATTATTAGTTAATATTAATAAATTAATAGTTGCATATAATTTAATGATTATTTTTTTTAAATTTTTCTTGCAATTGATCTGCAAAGTGAATATGTGCATCTACGATTTTTAATACTTTCAAAGGCCTTTTCAACATATTTATCATATTCATCATGAGTTAAATCTAAACAATCAAGTGAATGTTTATAACTCTTACTTCCCCAATATGCAGTATCATAAGAAACTTTAGCAATGATATTATCTGAATCATTATCCCAATGTCCTGACATTGGGATTGTTTTTTTAAAAAATTGTACATCAGTTATAATGTTAAAATATTCTTTTAACAAGATATTATTTATGAGTTTAAATGGGCTGTTGGTTAGGTTATATTTATTTTTTAATCTTTTTTCAACTGGGAAAAAAAATTTTATAAATTAAATATAAATTAAGTTTAAGATTTATTATGGATATATTCATAAAAATGAAAAATACCTTTATCCATAAGCTCCAAGCATTCAGGAGATCCATTTGTGAACATATCATCCATTTCTATTAATTCTAACCATCCATTTGGTTTTGCCACCCTTATCATTTCACCTATAGCTTTTGACCAATCATTTATTTGTATGGAGGTTTTCATATATCTCATAAACACATAATCAAATGTATTTGATTTAATATTTAATCCAGTGATTATATTTCCCAGCAAAAAATTTACATTATTAGGTCTAATTTCATTTGGAAATGTTTGAAGAATATCAACAGCCAAAAAATTAGCATTTGGGTATGTTGTAGCCATATCTAATGTCCATGTGCCACTTCCACAACTTTGAAATAAAAAATCACTAATTAATAATGATTCAATTAATTAATTAATTACATAAAAAAATAAATTTTTATTTAAACTCACCCAACATCCAGCACATCAAAACCATATCCATTCTCCAATTGTTTTGTAATCGGTGCTGAAAAATTAGTTTCATCCCAAATTTTTTTGTGCAAGAAATGAATTGTGTTTGTTCTTGCGAATTCATCATCATCATCAACTGGAAGAATATCAGTGATTTCTTCTGTGCAAACTAAATATTTACGATTTTCATAATAAGATATCATCGTTTCTGATGATGATTGCTGATTTGAATTTGTGACTGCTTTTTCTTTATTTTTTCGTTTTCCTAGTGATGAAGGTTTTGCCCCCATTGTTACAATTAATAATCTAAATGATTGGAAATTGATGTTAACAAGAAAAAAAAAATGAATGAATGAGGAGAAGGAAGGAATGAGGTAAATACAACCAAAGATAGAAAAATGGGAAGAAATGAAAAATAATCATTTTAATTAATAATATTAATAATATTAATAATTAATTGATTATATAACATATAACTAATATTATATAAGCCGTGCGCTTATATTTTCTAGGCGAGTTTAATTAATGATCTGCGGGGTGCATTTCTACATTTTATAAATAAAATTCACGCCATATTATTTTAATTAAAATAAACCTTTGTAAATCATTTTTCTTAAACTGTCAAGGCATCTTTCTTTTAACTCTTTACACAGAATTGGTCAAAGATTATTGTAAAAAAATTATCGTGTTACACACTTAAAAGGATTACTGCCATCACGTGGTTACTCAATATATAATCATGTGACGCGTATTATACATATATGGCTTGATTATAAAAATTACAATCTTTGAACTTTATTACTATTACATTTATACATTTAATAATGAAAAGATTACGTTAAGCAACGAACTGCGTTATTAAAAAAGCAATCTGGAGTGTTCAGGTGAGCTTAAAAAACTAAATAATGTACTATGAAAAAGACTATACTAAAGACCCCTATCGCTCAAATTTCAAAAATAGCTATTTCTTGATTTGTTCGAAAATGCAATAAAAATTTTTAAAGGGTATTTCCAAAAACGGACTTCACGTGATATTCTTATTGCAAAATTTATTAATGATTTTTACACACTAATCTAAATTTGACAATGGCTAGCGCTCAAAAATTATAGTAATAGTGATAGACTACAACAAATAAATTTTTTGACATTATAATATAAATAAAGACCTATTATATCAACCAATGTAGGACAGAAATTAACTCTACTTGATCGAGCCAACTATACTAATACTATATTAACTGAATATTTTTAAATCACTTGCAAATCTTTTCCTAAATAATAATGCACATACTAATATAACGTTGATAGAATCAGACCAGTATCATATGCATGCTTGATTACATTATGCAAATATCAATATGGACCAAGCTATCTATGCAATAAGCAGATCATACGGTATGCAAATAGAGAGGCGGCCGTATATAAAAATTCGATTATTTTTGAAAAGAAAATTTCTAATATCAATCATCGCAAATCCTCAAACTCAAAATCCGCATAAAGACATAAATTAAAATTTCGTCATATTAAGTAAAGCTATCAACTGACCATTATTTTTAAAGTTTACTATATTTTTAAAATTTTGCTTTTCTAAAAAAGTCAATAATTAAAAGATTTCGAAATTTTCAAATTGGAGTTTAGATCTAAAAAAGTCAAGATGTAGTCAATTGTCATTCCATCAAGAAAATGAGAGAGAAAAAGAGGTAAATTTTTATTCTCAATGATATTAAATCGTGCAAAAAAAAAAAAATTTTTTTATGTATTTCATCTTACCATTAATCATGATGGTAAAGTTTTAGTTATGTGCCACTTGAAATCAGGGTTGACAATCAAGCTCCTAAATTTTTGTGTTGAAGAGAATAGGGGTGGTATGATTTCTCTTGAATTAGGAGTGAGAACCTTCATGACTGGATATAACCCATTAATGCTGAGGTCATAGGATGGGGAAAAGTAAAATGAGTATAGTTGGTTCAGTCCAAGGACCCTCTAAATTTTGCGCAAATTTTAAAGTATAGAAATTACTTTCTTCTGTTTTACCTTTTAAAAAAATAACCTTATTAGTTAATGTAATGAAGAGATTTCGTCAAAATTTATTTGTTATAGAGTTTTATTTATACATGAGGTGGCAATTCTTTTGCCAAAAACGTAATTACGAAATTAATTACGAGTGGCGAAATTATTTACTGTTATTGTGAAAGAAATCAATTATGGGTGTTGTAAAGTCCATGCTTTTTACCCTTTATAAAGTACTATATAAAAGTACCAACAAAATTTAAACCATAAACAATATCTTGTCTTTGAAGTAAAAAAAAAACCCATTTTAATAAAAGATATTGTCTCCACGAGTGATTCACTTAAAATAAAACATGTTTTCTGTGACAGGCACTTTAATTATTATAAAAATACAAGTTGATATTTTACTTATTTATTATCCTAAATGATGTCTTTAAATATAAAAAAACACATATTGATTAATATAATCAATTAATTGTTTATATATAGTAACAATTGGTCAGCTTCAAAATGTCAAAGCAAAAATTTTTTATATCATTTTAAAAAAGTTAACTGATAAGTTTTGTTGTTCATGACTCAAGCTTCAAACTTATTGGCTAGCTTTTTCTTAAATTAAAAATTGGCATTTTGAAAATTCCAATTTTGTTATTATTATACACTTAAGAAATGGAGATTAGTAAATTTCTTGTAACAATTTTTTTCGTAGAATATTTTCTATAACATAAATTGATTTATATTATTTATTTCCTTTTTTTGTTAATAATAAAAATTCTTTACAATAAAAATGTTTAACGAACATATTACATCAAAAGAAAATATTGTAACACGGAAATTATTGGAATTTTTAACTCAAATTTAAAGAATCCATGAAAAAAAAATTTGAGACAAACTTTTTTTCTAGAATCTTTTTTAAATGGTACAGTCTCCGGCGAAAGTAATGGCGGTGATAATTTTTTTTAAAAACTAAAAATTTTTAATAAGCAACTATCAATAAAATTTTATTTTTAAAACGCCTCCAAGTAAAACAT